GAGACTAAGTGAGATGTCCCCAATCCTGCAGTTGGTTTATAGTCAAGATTTATCACTTTGCTTCATTCCAAGGACCAAGTAATAAACTGGAAGTTCAGAGATGCCACTTCCATCCTGGTGTACAGCACTGATTTGCTGGGTGCTGTGGGCAGTGACTGAAATGCCCTGGGCTCTCCTTCATCTGTTAAAAGTCATCACTGTCCCCGCAGAAGGCCTATGGATATTAAAAGTAACTAATGAGATTGTTTCGGTCCCAACAGCTCACGCTTTCTCCCACCCGTATCTGTTTCCTCCTTTACCACACACGAAGGCCCCGATCTCCCACCCCGTTAATGACTCAGCTTATTAAGGAAATCAGCTACTTGCCTGGCAGCTACCATGGTTCTGCTTCATTACTTCTTGAATTAATTTCATTTTCCTCAATCTTCTGTAAGAATATCTTCAGTTTCAAGAAAGGTAGATGTTAAAACTCAGCAGCAGAAGCCAAGTTCACATGATCCATGGCAAAGCCTCTCACTCTCCTGCCCCACAAACCACATCAGTTCCTCCCACTCACTCTCTGTCAGTGGCTCCCCTGTGACCACAAAGTGAGACTCCAACTCCCAACTCTCCACCATCAGCCACCCACAGCTGCAGCCCCAGGTCCCATCTCTCCTCCTCCCACCGTGAGCACCAGGCACAGCCAGCTCTTCTGCATCTGCCATGATATCTGCTCTGCACTGAGGACTGGGATCGGAAACGTGAGGATACGGGGAGTTCCTGGATCTGAAGGGAAAAGGCCTCGGGCCTGAGGACAACAGCCTGGCCCCTTTCTGGAAAACGGAATGGGCTATAGCAGATACAGAGCTTGGTGGTTCCTGCCAGCCTGGGGTACGGGGTGTGTGTGAAGGAGAGGGAGAGGGAAGGGAAAAGTACAGGGAGGGGACAGGAAGAAAGAAGAGGGAGAGGGAGGCAGAGGCAGCAGGACACAGTAAATGGACCTGCCTGACTCTTCCACTACCAAGTTCACCAACCTCCCTGTGCCCACTCCATGGATGCTCTCCTGACAGTGGCCCCAGTCCCCTCTTCCACTTCACCCAGACCGTTCTCATCACAGACAAAGGTGCTGATATCCTGCGCCCTGAGACATCCCCATCTGACTCCACACCTCCTCCAGCAATCTCCCTACAGCCTGCTGTCTCTAGGGCAGGGTTCCTTGCAGGAGCTTCCTGTACCTGGTGTCTTAATGCTCTTACCCACATTCTCTCCTAACCCACTGCAATGACAGCTTCTCTCTCATTATTCTATCACAATGGCTCTTTTCCAGGGCACTAGCAACCTCCACTCAAACAAAACCGTCTTCCAGCCTCGGTCCTCACATATTCCACCCAGCAGCTGGCGTACACTGCCACTGTACACTCCTCACTTTTCTTATTGTCTCTCACTTCTTCCACAATATGCTCCTCCAGTACCCAGACTTTAAATAATATCTGTATCCTAAAGACCAAACCCTGGCCCCCGTTTATATCCCTAGCTCTGGGCTTCCTCTTGAAGTCCACTTACATTTCCACTTGGATATTCCAAACAAATTTAAAACCAACCTTGATTTTCTCCTTTAAACTTATTCTTTCCCTGGCATCCCCATATCAACAAAATGGCACCAACATTTTGTTCAGCTCCAAAACTTGAACTTGTTCTTAATTCCTCATTCTCTCAAATCTGACCTATAATCCATTCCAAAATCTCAACAGTCCTACCTTCAACATATCCCAAATCTGTATCCCAATCTGAACACTTGTTCACCAATCACTGCTGTGTACCCACCCCAAGCTACCATCACCTCACCTGGGGCCTCTTTACCACTCCATACACCTCATTCTCCCCTGACCTACCTTCTTTCTCTTCCCCCAAGTCAAGAGTCCATCCCACTTGACTATTCAAGGTATGATTCCAGTCATGCCCCTCCATGCACAAAGTATGCACATGGCTCCCACAAACTGCTCCGCATAAAAGGCCCTGCATGACCTGCTCTAATCTCACCTCTCTGGCTCATTCAGCACCAGCGCCTGTCTGTCTGGCAGCTGTTCTACCTGCTGAGTCATTGCTGGCATGGGCTCTGCTGCCCTGGCCCTCCTTCCCGGCTTCACCTATCCTGGACCGGCTGCATTTGCTCACAGCACCTTCACCTTACAGCAATCATGGATTGCTTATGGCCTCCTCCAATGAACTTCAACTCCATACTGGGATGGACTCTGTCTGTTGCAAGCATCGGAATAGTATGTGGCATACTGTAGGTGTTGCCAGATTAAATGAATTAAATTCTTGCACCTGTTCAGTTTTTCCCCTGAATTGGCCACTTTTCTGTTTCTACGTAACTCCCTGACTGCCTCCGGGACCTTCTGCGCTGGCCTCCTGGGCTGACCCCATCCCTCTGGAACCCCACTCTCAGGACCAGTCCCCATCTGGCCTGATCCAGCCTCACGGCAGTTGAGACCTAAGCAGACTCATCTGATCATCACAGTCATGAGTTCTTCCAGGCACAGACTGTGGATTTGTCTTGCATCCCAGTAACAACAGATTCTGGCACGCAGTGGCATTAAATTCACATCTGTGGGCCAGGTATGGTGGCACACATCTGTGATCCCAGCGAATCAGAAGGCTGAGCAGGAGAATCACAAGTTTGAGGCCAGTCCCAGCAACTCGGCAAGACCCTGTCAAGAAAGGGTTGGGAATATGGCTCAGCGGGTAAGTGTCCTAGCTCAGTCCCTGGTATATTAAAAAAAAAAAAATTAACTAAAAAAAAAAATACACACATACACACCTGTGTGTTTAATATACCAGGTATGACTGAGCAACTCCATGAAAGAAAAAAATAGAAAAGACATAGCTGAAGGAAGTAGTGACTTTTTCCAGCTTTATCCAGGCACTGTTTCTGTAGCATAGATCTTACTAACAAAAAGACAGCAGTAACTGACTAAAACAACACTGGACACATGCTTACGTGTTCACACATAAGAACACGAGAAGGTATATTTGAAGGAAAATGAAAGTCAGGTGCAAGTACCACAGCTTGGATTATGAGAGAAAAACCAAGGAAATAATGTAATCTCTTCCTCTCTGAAAATTAATGGAGTGTCCAAGAGCCACGATCGTTCTAGTAAAGTTAGATAAGAAGGAAAGAGTTTTAGTTAAATTTAGCTTTGTCTGTAATACCCATTTTTGAAACGTGGTTTCAAGGGCTCACAGCTGTCCTCTCTGATACCCAACCCACCCAGGACACTAAAGAAGCCGAAGTGGTGATGACAGACTAGCCTTCCAGCCTCTGATCAAGCCCGTAGGTGCCAGACCCTGTGACCCGTCAACCTGAGCTTCGTGAGAACCTGGGTATGAGAAGGTTAATAATGTCAACACAGAGAAGCACCCTGGGTGGAGGCCGGAAGTCAGTCACCTCACGGGGTCAACAAAGACTGGCCGCAGAGGAGGACATTCCTGAAATGGGCTTTCCAGGGTGAGCAGGAGCTGGCCAAGTTGTGAACTGGGGGAAGATGGTATCTCTGCTAGTGAAGCAAAGCAGGCGCTGGGAGGCAGAGTGGGAAGGGCCTGGGCACCCTGCTGACCCAAGAAGACAATTCTGGTGGCTTTCAGGCAGGCCAATCAGATCTGCAGGGAGAAGGGTGATCCTGTCAGGAGTGCATGAGGTCCAGGGCCAGGGGCAGGGCCTCCGATCAGGAGGCACCTGAGAAGGGCAAGGAGAGGCTCGGTTCAGGGAGACGCGGCTGGTGACTGGCTGGTGCAGCAAAGGAGAGGTTCACCCAAGTCACTGAAAGAAGAAGGGCAGTGCCACTCATCAAGAGAGGGGAGACAGGCTGCACGGTGTCTGCTTCCTGGAGTCCAGGCCTGGGCCTGAGAAGAGCAGTAGGAGCGCCCTGGCACCCAACCTCATGGAGAAACCCAGGGCCTCGGGCAGGGCACAGCCTCCCTGAACTGTGTTGCAAAGACCACATTAAATAAAGCAGAGGTGACCCCGAATGCTAATAGGAACCGTGGGGTGTGGGAAGCCAACCTTACGAGTGACTGAGTTACACTCCCCAGCTGGGTGCTGAGGCACTCAGTCACAGAAATGGGTGTGTCTTGCTATAGCCCCAGGGGTGAAGCTATGCTCACCTGTTGCTTTGTAATATAACCCCTTGCCCTGTTTAGGATAGAATCTTCCGTGGAAGTGCCTTGTGTGTGTCCCTTCTCTTATTGTGCCCTTGAGTGTGGCCTACCCAGGTGTCAGTCAACCTGCTGACAGTGGACATCATGAAGACAGACTCAGCCCCCTGAAACCTGACCCCTTGCCTCATTTGAATAGCTTCTCCTCAATAAAAGAGGTCAGCGCCTGCTCTCGCTCTCTCTCTTTCTGCAGACCCTTAAAGTCAGAGGAGCCATCACAGCGACCCCAAAGAAAAAGGTCTCTGTGTCTCTTGTGTGGTTATTTCGTGCAGCCCAGTTAGCCCAGTTCAGCTGGAGTGACCCCTGAGCCTTTTAGTCGCGAGAACAGAAACCCGGCAGTGAGGTGCACTTGGCACCCCCCACCCCACAGGCTCCAAATAAAACACGTTTACTGGCCCTTGAATGAGTTTTGGGGGACAGCTTGGGTACTTCTGAAGACTTTGACATTTTCTTATTGTTTATGTTTGTTTCTTCTTGACTATTACTTCCATGTCAGATAAATGTTCGAATTCTAACTTGAAAAGATTTTTAGATTTATTCAGTTTTGGTAAATAAAATAGTATGTTTTGATCTTTTAAACTACCACTACCACAATCAGTTCCAACAAGCCTTTGGTGGCTCACTATAAAACAGGCAAAGACGAAGAGTACCTGCAGCACTCGGGAAGATGAATGTCCCCAGGGGCCCCTCTGTGAAGGGTCTGATCCCCAGGGGAGAGCTCTTGGGAGGTGCAGGAATGCTGAGGGGTGGGACCTTGTGGGAGGTCTTTAGGTCATTGGCATTGTGCCCTCAAACAGACTATGGGACTCAAGGGGCCTGGGCTCCCCACCCACCTCTCTTTTGCGTTTTGGGCCACAAGATGAGCAACTCTGCTTCATCGTGTGCTTCTGCCACAATGTGTTCCCTCACCAGAGGCCCAAAGCAAAGGGATCAATTGTACATGGAACCTCCAAAATAGTGAGTCCAAAGAAACCTTTTTTCTTAATAAGTTGATTACCTCAGGTGTTTCATTATAGGGATGTAAATCTGACTTAACATAGTACCTAAAGTCAAAAAGTCTACTTTGCTCTCTTTTCCAAATGAACATGACTCTAGAACTTTGCCATGGAGCAATATATGAAGCCTCTGAAAAGTACACAGTAGGAGGTCATAGAGGAAAGATCAGAGTGCAAAAAACCACTGAACCAGTGTGGAAATTCCCCTTTCTCCTCCAGTATCCCTGGGACTGGATTCCTGGCAGCCTGAAATCCAAGGTTAGGCAGCAGGGCATGGATAGGAAGCTCCAGGAGAAGTTCTCTAATATGAAGGTGGTGGTGGGGGACCAGAAGGGGAAGAAGAGCACCTACAGCTCCGAGAGAATATAGGAGACATTCTCCGTGCTCTCGTCCCATTCTCGCTTGCTCATGCCCTAGCCCCAGTCAGTCCTGAGTGGCCACGACGACACGCAGTGGAAGCTGTGGAAGTTAGGGGGGGAGACCCCTAACACTCGGGGGGCTGTGGTCTAGGAGGCGGGAAAACACCCATGTGTCTCCTTCTGGGTCAACACCCCTCCTGCTCAGTCCTGACGTGGGTGGGCCCTGTTGCGGGCAGAGGGCCATAGGAGTTAGAGCCTCGGGCTTCCTGCCACAAGACCTGGAGACTCAGGACACCAGAAGATGCCCAAGAGGGAAGGAAAGCCCAGAGCCCCATTAAAGATGCTTTTAGGTTCCCAAGTTCATCCTCAAGCAGAGAAGGAAGAGATCAAAGAACTACCACTTCTAAAGCCTTTGGAAACGGCACTAAAGGACAAACCACCACCACATCCCAGATTGGCAGCTGGGTGGGACACATGTGACATAGAACCAAACAGCACTGCAAGGACTTTAAGAAGAACAGACATTGAAATCATAGAAGAAGGCCAGTCAAAATTTGCAGCCTAAACCAAATGCCATCAATTACTGCTTAAAAAAAAAATTATCCATAGATTTAAACAAGACCCCAAGTCTCTTAACATATTTAAAATTTCCAAAATGCAACATAAAATTACAAAGCACACGGAGAATCATAAAAATCTCAACTCATATGAGAAAAGACAACAGATGACAACGTAGAGATGATAGATATTGAAATTACCTGACGAACATTTTAAAGTAGTTACTGTAAAAATGCTCAAGGAAGCAGGGTCAACTCTCTTGAAATAACTAAAAAGATGGAAAATATCAGGAAAGAAATAGAAAATAAAGCAGAACCAAATAAAAACTTTAAGAATAAAGTAACTAAATTAGCTGAGCATGGTGGCATGTTCCTATAATTCTCAGCAACTCAGGAGGTTGGGGCAAGAGGAGTATGTCAAGTTTGAGTATAATATGAGCATTATATTACAATATAATGTGAGTGAGATGTCTCAAAAAATAAATAACTAAAACAGGCCCCAAACAAATGAACAAAAATCCTAAGATAACAAGATTTTAAAAAGAAACACCACCTCATTGGGTAGACTTGGTAAATAACAGGAGTGAGTCAGTGAACTTGAAGACTTAGCAGAAGAATCCACTCTGAATAAGAGAAGGGAAGAAGAAAAAAGGAAAAAAAAATGCTGAAATTCTTGGGAACCTGTGAAGCAAAACTGAAAGGTCCCTGGAGACTCAGAGAGAAAGAGAAAAGAAAGGCTACCGTGCAGAAAAAACATGGAAGATATAATGGCTGGAAATACCACGAATTTGGCAAAAGACATAAACCTACAGATCCAAGATGAACAAAGTTCATACAGGAAATACTGAAAGAATTCAACTCCAAGTCAAGTCATAACCAAACATGGAAAACTAAAGACAAAGAAAAAATTCCTGAAAACATCCAGAGAAATTCTTGTATTACTCATAAAAGAACTGTTTTCAATGATGAATTACTCATCAAAAACCTTAGAGGCCAGAAGGATGTAACACAGTATTTTAAAAGAAAGAAAAAAACTATTTACCAGGAATTATATGAAAATATCCTTTAAAGAATGAAGGTAAAATAAAGACACTCATCAGGCAGGGTAAATTAAAAATTTATTTTATTTTTTTTTTTATTTAGTAGATGTGCTCTAAGAGAATCCCTATGGGAAGTTATTTAAACACAAGAAAATGAAACTGGAAGGAAACTGAAATGTCAGGAATAAAGGAAGAGGAACAGAAATGGTGTAAGTATAATAAACTTTTTTTTTTGGTGTGTGTGTGTGTGTGTGTGTGTGTGTGTGTGTGTGTGTGTGGTGTGCTGGGAATGGAATCCAGGGGTGTTCTGCCACTGAGCTGCATCCCCAGTCCTTTCTCTTTCATTTTGGGAGAGTCTCGCTAAGTTGCCAAGGCTGGCCTCAAACTTGGGATCCTGCTGCCTCAGCATCCCAAGTTGCTGGGGCTGCTGGGGTACACCATCAGGTCCAGCTTCTTATTCTGTTCTTTAAAATATTCTTGACAAGCAAAAGCAAAGCTAGCAGGTCTGATGAGATTCTCAATCTTTATAGATAGAATACATAAGACAACTGCAAGACAAGAGCAAAGGCAGATGGGAAGGGGCCCGTGGGTAGAAGATCCACTTAACAGCAGAACAGACATTCTCTAAGACGCAACATATCTGGAGTCATAAAAACCCTAAATTTAAAAAAAAGAAATCACAAAAATATATCCTTTGACAATAATTGAGTTAACTAGAAATCAATAACAGAGAGATAAGACAGTTTCCAAACCTTGGAAATCAAGCAACACACATCTAAATAATATAGAGACTTCAAAAAAAAAATCTCAAGAGTAAAATAGCAAATAGCAAAATGAGCAGAAATAGAAACCTAATCTGTGGGACACAGCGAAAGCAGTGGTGCAGGGACGTCCACACCATCAGTGAAGGGAAGGAAGGGAGGTCCGAGATCAATAAAATCACCTGTTGTAAGAAGCTAGAAAAGGGAAAGCAAAATAAATCCAAAGCAGGCTGAGGAAGGAAATAACAAAAATAAGAGCAGAAATCATTCAATTATAAACAGAAAAACAACAAAGAAAAATCAGTGAAACCAAAAAGTTGATTCTTTGATAAACTTCTAGCCAGCTAAACAAAGAAAAGAAACGAATTACCAACATGAGAGATGAAATTATCACTACAGACCCTAAAGACATTAAAAAAGATAATACGGGAATACAATGAACAACGCTACACCATAAGCTCAATGACTTAAATGAAAGAAAACAGCTACAGGAAAACTGCAAACTCTCCTAAGATGACACAGACAGCCCCAATAGTCGGTCAGCAACAATGAAATTAAATGTGCAGCTAAAACCCTTCTGAGAAGAAAATCCAGACCCAGGTTTCACTAATGATTCCATCTAGTGTCAATCTACAGAAGGCAGAAGAGAGGAACACTTCCCACCTTGCCTTATCACACCAGAAGCACCCTCATGTCAAGAGCAGACAGGACGGTAAGAAAAGAGGGCTGCTGGCCAAAGCCACCAGGAGCACAGGCGCAAAGGTCCCCAACAAAATGAGAGAAAATGGAGCACAGAGGCCGAACAGACCACAGCAAACTGTGTCTCACCCTGGCAACGAAGGGCTATTTTCAATATCTGATAATCATCTGGTATAAGCCACTGAACTGACAATCTAAAGAAGAAAAGATCCACAGGATCTTAACAATTAGTACAGAAAAAGCATTTGACAAAATTCAACACCTAAGATGGCTTCACCATGATGAAACTCGTCAGTAAATTGGAATAGAAGGGAGTGTCCTCAACCTGGAAAGGGCACCCACAAAACCTACAGCTGACAACCTAGTTAACAGCGAGAGGTCTGGAAGGAGACAGGCTCACTGGACACCCAAGAACCCCCAGAGCTGCAGCAAGGCAAGAGGAAGAAAGGAGAGTCAGACCTATTAGAAGGAGAAGTTAAAGGACAGCCATTGTGAAAAATGGCACAGAAGTTCCTCAAAACACAAGAAACAGAACTGCCAGAGGATCCAGCAACCCCACTACTGGGTGCACAGCCAACGGAGGTGTGCCTGACGGATGAATATGTAAAGAAGCTGTGGCCGGTCCACGCCTGTGACCCCAGCTACCTAGGATGCTGAGGCAGAGGAGCACAAGCTCAAGGCCAGCCTCAGGGACTCTGGGAGACCTTATCCAAAGTAGAAGAGAAAGAGCCTGCGTACCGCTCAGCAGTAGAGCACTCGCCTAGCATGTGGGAGGCGCTTGGTAAGATCCCTAGGACCACAGGGTGGGCTGGGGGTGGGTGTGGCATGTATACCCAAGGGAATAGTATTTGGCCATAAGAATGAAATCCTACCCTATGTGGATGGGCTTGGAGGACAGTATTTTCAGTAAAATAAGCCAGGCTAAAAAAAGTTGATCTCACAGAAATATAGAGTAGCACAGTGTTTACCAGAGGTTTCAAAGAATAGGAAAGTGTGGGATATAAAAATGGTTTGGTTAGTGAGAATAAAACTATACTCAGGTAGGAGGATTAAGTTCTACATTTTTGTGGCACTCTAGAGCGACTACACTAAAAATAATAATAATAGTAATTTGTTGTATATTTCAAAATAGCTAAGAGGGGAGATAGATTTGCTAACACAAAGAACTGAGGTGATAGATTTACTAATTACCCAATTTGATCACTACACACTGTTTCAGATGCCACTGTACCCAATAAATATGTTCAATTATGTTTCAAGGAAAAAAGGAAGATATATAACTATCCTATTTGATGACTCCTAGGACCAGAAAAATGAGAAACAAATAATAAGATATCGGCCACAACTGTTATGAAAAGGGATATGAAGATTCCTCAGAAAACTTGGAATGGAACCACCATTTGACCCAGCTATCCCATTCCTCAGTTTATACCCATGGGATTTAAAATTAGCATAATACAGTGACATAGCCACAATGTTTATAGTAGCTCAATTCACAATAGCTAAACTATGAAACCAATGTAGGTATCCTTCAACAGATGAATGGATAAAGAAAATGTGGTACATATACACAATGGAATATTACACAGCCTTAAAGAATGAAATTGCAGCATTTTCCAGTAAATGGATAGAGGTGGAGATACCATGCTAAGTGAAATAAGCCAATCCCAAAAGCCAAAGGCCAAATGTTTTCTCTGATTCACAGATGATAATTCACAATGGGGGTGGGAGCTAGGGAAGAATAAGTTACTTTGGATTCAATTTGGAGAGTGAAGGGAGGGGAGGATTATGGGGACAGGAAGGATAGTAGAATGAATCTTGATATTATTATCCTATGTACATATATAACTACATGACAGACATGATTCTACATCATATACAACCAGAAGAACGGGAAATTATATTCCATTTATATATGACATGTCAAAATGCACTCTCTGTCATGTATAACTAACTAAAACAAATTTTAAGAAGATTAAAAAATGAATCGTATTCCTACATAGCAGTTATGAAAAATAGAAACCAAAATTTAAGAAGAATACTAGTTACAGTAACTCCAACCAAATCACAATATTCTGGTATTGCTGTAATAAAGTATACATAGGTTTTGTCTTTTGTAAGCTACAAAACATTGATGAAAGAAGTTAAAGAAGGGGCCTGGGGTTGTGGTTCAGTGGTAGAGAACTAGCCTAGCATGTGTGAGGCACTGGGGTTGATCCTTAGCACCACATAAAAATAAATAAGTAAATAAGTAAGTAAATAAATAAATAAAAAGTTATTGTGTCCATCGACAACTAAAAAAAAAATTTAAAAAAGGAAATCAAAGAAGACCTATGGATTGGAAAACTCAAAGTAAGATTCAGTAGATTGTCATCTGTTTCTGACAAATCCAATCCAAATGTCAACATAACATTTTGTAGACAGAGATAATTTATTTATAAAATTTATAGGGGAAAGCAAAAGATCCAGACTAAACAATAGGGGTATATCTCACCGGTAGAGCACTTGTCCTACACATATGAGGCCCTGGGTTCCATCCCAGCACCAAGAAAAAGAAACACTTCCTTCTTGCTAGGTGCAGTATCCCCTACACACAAACATGGTCTGATTTTTGATGAAGGTACAAAGTCAATTCAACAGAGAAAGAATAGTGTTTCAATAAACAATGTCATAAGATCATTGGACAAAACAATGACCTTGACCTAATCTTTATACTTTTCTAAATATTTATTTCAAAATGACAACAATCTAAATATAAAGCATTAAACTATAGCATTTTCAAAAACATAGTAGAAAAATATCTATGGACCTGTAGTTGGGCAAAGAATTTCTACATATGACATTAAAAAACATGAAAGATTAATAAACTGGATTTTTTTTAGAGAGAAAGAGAAAGAGAATTTTTTTAATATTTATTTTTCAGTTTTTCAGTGGACACAACATCTTTGTTGGTACGTGGTGCTGAGGATGGAACCCGGGCCACACACATGCCAGGCGAGCACGCTACTGCTTGAGCCACATCCCCAGCCCCAAATAAACTGGATTTTAACAAAATTAAAATCATCTGCTCAGTGAAAGATGCTGTTAAAAGAATGAAGACAAAGCTACAGTCTGGGAGAAAATATTTCAAATCACATATCTGACAAAGGACATGCACTGAAAATGAAAGTGAACTCTCAAAACTCAAGGGCAAGAAAACAACCAACTAAGGATGGGAAAAAGATCTGAATCAAAGAAAATAAGCATATGAAGAAATGATCAGCATCAGTAATATTAGGGAAATGAGGGACTGGTACGCATCTAACAGGATGACTAAAAGTGTAAAAGTGACAACGCCAAGTGCTGGCCAGGAGGCAGAGCAAGGGGCTCTAGTTCCCTGATGACACATAACAATGCAAAACTGGTTTGCAAAATAGGAAATTTCTTATAAAGTTAAGCACATATCAGATGACCCAGCAGCAATCCCTCTCCTAGCTCTTTACTCCAGGTAAATGAAACTTTAAATTCACACACACAAAAAAAAACCTAAACATGACTGTGTCTAGGAGCCCCATGCATACCTTAACTTACCTGGCAATTACACACACACACACACACACACACACACACACACACACACACCAACCTAGCAGCAAAAAAAAAAAAAAAAGAGAGAGAAAAGAAATCAACCCAAATGCAGGCAATCTCATCAATACATCTTCTCCTATAGATAAACACCCCTAGGCCCACACCCACCCTGTACCAACCCATCTCTGACCCCAAGATCCCCTGCTCTGGGATTGACTAATTTGAGGGAGAGGGGTATAGAACAAAAAACAATAAAAGAATCTAGAAAATCCACTGACACATCAATCAACTGATCAAAGGAGTCTTTGAAACTGTCCTCTGGAAGAGACACTGGGCACAGACATAAATAAAGACTCGCCTTCCTGCTTCACTGCCTTTCTCTTTGGAATGTTACATGGATACCACTTCAAATGAAGCAAAAAGAAACCAGCTCAGACACTTACCTCTGAACTCTGTTAAAGTCTCTCTCTGGTCTAGTTTAAACAGAAAGAGAACAAAATTTTTACATAAACAGGAATCTCAATGCATTTCTCAGCAAGGCCTTGTACTTATAAGTCAAGCCACCGGGACATGCAGGGAACTAACTTGAGACCCTAAGAACCACTTAGACTTCTTTTAAAGGAGACACAAACAGAGGTGACTATTTAATGGTTGAAAATATTCCACGTTCTTTTCCATCAATTATCAGCTCCTTTCCAGTGTTGTTCAGAGTGACAGGAAACACTGGCCAAGGTTGTGAAGGCACAGTCCAGGGCTGACCACAGCTGGGACAACAGGTGAGCCAAAGCAAAACCCTGACCACACTAATCCTTAGAAAATAAAGTATTCACTGTGTGGGAAACTTCCTCCTGTGTGGCCTGTGGTGGCAGCTTCTTGGTTGGACTCTGGTCCAGCCACTCTATTCTGACTACTCACTTACATACAATATAATACACTAATGGGGGAGAAGACAAGTCATCCAGGATGTTTGTTGAAAAGACCATCCCACCCCTACAAATTAACTTGGCATTTCTTTAAAAAAAATTACACACACACACACACACACACACACACACACATATATATATTAGTTGTATTTGGACACAATACCTTTTACTTTATTTATTTATTTTCATGTGGTTCTGAGGATCGAACCCAGGCTGGGCCTCGCACATGCTAGGCAGGCCCTCTAACCCTAACCCTTAACTTGGCATTTCTAGGGTCTCCTCCAGGACTCCCCATCATTTTGTTGGTTCTCTTCCTTCTCAAGAGCCCAAGTGACGTCTCGCTGCCTGACACATGGAGTATGAATTCCCCATTATGACAAAGTACTCAATCCAGCAACTTATCTCCCTCAAATAAATATTTCAGTACATAGCTCTAAAATGTAAGGACTCTTTCTAAAACAAAATACAGTGCCATTATTATGCCTGAAATAATTTAATGATTCCTGAATATGATTGACTATCCAGTCAGTGTTCATAAGTCCTTGGCCAAAGGACTTATGAAGCAGGTCCACATCTTGCTAAGTGTCTTCAAAGTTTTCCTCCTCCTTTCTCTTTCTTTGCAATTTGTTCACTGAAGAAAACTGTCTTCAGCAGTTCCAGACTGCGTGGACTTTGTTCATTCCATGCCCATAGTGTCCTTTGATTTGTTCCTCTGTGCTTCCTGTAAGTAGTAATCAGATAGGCCTGATTCCCCATTACCCACCAGATGTCCCCCTGCTCTGTGGCCCTGCAGCATCGTTTCTATTGCTTCTCTGTCCTCTGCACTTCCTCTAAGTTGGCAATCAGATCTAGAGGCTTGATCAGGATCAAGTGGATTTGAGTTGGGAAAGAACATTTCAACAGAGGTTATGTATGCCCCTTTGGAGGCACAAAATGATCATTGCCTAGATTTATTAATTAATTAGGGGTTATAAAAATATTAATAATCTTATTTTGTCATCACTTCTTAATTTATTGCTAAAATTCTTCTATAAAGAAAAATTCCCCTTTTCAACAGTTTGATTACATGAGATGCAGTATACATAGAAAAGACAGGCTAAATGCTTCATTCTACTTATTAGTTTTCAAAATAATGAATTAATTCCCTGATGTCCTTAAAAGGTGGTGAAAGGTTTATTTTCATTACTCTGAAATCACAGGTTTAAACATATTTAATGTGTTCTGAGCCACTGCAGTTATCATCTTATTGACGTCAAACTGTGCCACTGGGAACCTCTTCCATGTGCTTTCTGGGTCCTGGGCTGTAGCTCTAGTCATCTTTGATGGCTTCTTTGCTTGCTGGCATGACAAAAAACTCCAGGCACAAGTAGTGCTTTCCTGTTTGAAAACAATAATTTCTACGAGGCGCCATGGTTCTTTTTGGTAAGAAATGGTGATTAGAAACGACAACCGGAGTTATCACTTCTCCTCTGCCTCTCAGTTGTGGCAGGAAGGGTGTGTGGCTCGCTGGCAGAGGGCCCACCTTACGTGCACAAGGCCCTGGGTTCCATCCCTAGCACCACAACAATAAGAGTCTGGTAAGTGGCAGGAAGGCTGCCTGAGGAGCTCACTCAACCCTTCCCAGTCAAATTCATGACCGCAGAGTTTTCACACAGCCGAATCTCATTAGTTTTATATCTGTATCTCCCCACTTGGAATTGTTACTGTGTCATTATGCCATCACCCTGAAATAGTTTGTTTCGTTTTGCTTTAAACTTTTGGGGCTACTTTAAAAATAACTAGTTTTATAATCATGATCCATATTTACTTGGTTCCAAAATCAAATGTATAAAACAAGGTATGGTTAGGAAAGTGTGGCCACCCTCCTCTATCCTCCACACTATTTCCCCCTTCTACTTTAGGTATTTTTTAAAAATTTTTTGCCATATATATTTCCATCATTTTTGCTAAATGTCTCTACACCCTTCCTTGACATTGCTCTTTTCACTTGACAATATGGGGTGCATCCCTTTTCACAGCTCTGTAGTGCTCCACTATTCCACAGTTTACTTAAGTTGGCCCAAACTAATGAACATTGGGGTGGCTTCTAGTCCATGGCACACATCCATCATCCATATTTTTGCTGATGTACCTTTAGAATAAACTCCTAGAACTTGAAGTCAGAGATCTCTTCTATGGCTAGATTCTGTAAATTCCCTCCCAGAAGGTAGACACCATGGAGTGCCCCTGTCCCTGCGGCTCCACCACGGGAGCACGGTGCTGAACTCCTGGGTCTTGCTCATCTGACTGATGGGTAAAAACTGGCACCTCAGTACAGCCTAGCTTGTGTTCTCCTGCGATGTGCAGAGTCCAGCCCCTTTTCCTAGGTTTGAGGGACATTCCCATCTCTCCCTGTGAACTGTTTCTTCATATCTGAAGCCCATTTTTCTATATGGTTATTTTTTTTTTCTGATTTTAGAAGCTCTTTAAATGCCTGAGGTATAAATTACAGTTATATTTTTTCCCCCAATGATTCGTTTGCTTTGCTTACTTTTTTTTAACATGCACAAGTATTTTGTATTTCATGTGGTATAATGGACCAATCTTCCTTCTACTAGTTCTGGGGTTCAAAACCAGCAGTTTTCTCTACTCTCTGGTTAAAAATGAATTCACCCATGTTCTCTCTAGGACTCAACACAACATTTTAATGATGTCCCCTTCTCCCCCCAGTTCCTCTTTAAAGGACTCACAAACATCCATCAGGCTCACAGGGTGGAAACAGCTATCTCCCATTTTAAAAGTTGAAATGCAGTGGGCCTCCGAACCCTGGTATTCCACATAGATGAACCATTCAGGCAATGCACAGAGACATGCGTAAAGGTGCCATCATGCTTTTCCTTATGGAGCCCACCTGTGCCACCTATAGTCACAAGGTCAAATGATATCCAAGATACCACGAGTGCCAAATGCCAAGAGAGCTAGAGTCAAGCCATTCTACTCCCTCTCTGTTCAGTGAGCAAACAGCAAAGGAAATACAGGTATAAAGAGGGAAGCATTGTCCCCAGAATCAAACCACATCTGCCAGTGGCCAAGGTGAGCAGAGGAGACTCAAAAATATGTTTTGTGGGTCCTTTAATGGGAGAGAAGAATTTTGGTTGAAATGGCAGCTGTGGCCAGTGGTGCAGGGAAACTGTGCCCAGAGCCCCAGCATGTTGGGCATGGCCTGCTTTGTGAAGTGCATCCAATTTAGGAACGAGGAAACAGCCTTTTGCTTCTCTTTCCAGAGATATCATGTTTCTCACCTAAGACATTTCTTAACAAGCAGGCTTTGGAAGAATGAATGGCTTCCACAACTGCAACTGGTATGTGGTTGGACAATGTCCTCACTTCTTTGGATCTCAAAATAAGGCCACAGAAAGGAACTGACTGTTTTCATACTGAAAAAGTAAATAGATGATATTCAAATATTTGTTAAAAATCTAAGGAAATTACCAGGCCTAGCTAACATCCAATATATAAAGCAATAATTTTCATACTGTACTAATATAAGAAATATATATAATAAACAAATATAATTTATTCATATATATACCTACAAACTAATAAACTGCTTGCTTTTTAAATAAGCAATCCAGGTAATACCAGTGCAGATTTCCTCATATTATACTTTGATAAGCTCTGCTAAAGAATCTGACTCCTTCAAAAAATCTACCTTATTTCTCAAATTTCTTCACTTTTTTTGCCCCCAAGTTCTGAGACACTGTGATGTCAATGACCGTTCTATTGACTGTTCTATCCCTGACATCCAGCACAATGCCTGATACAAAATCATGCTCATTTGTTAAATTAAAATAAAAATTTGAGACAAGTGGATATCCATAAGCAAAAGACACCTACCTCACACTATCAGAAAAATCAATTCAAAATGCATAGAAGACCTAAACAGAAGAATGAAAACTACAAAACTCCCAGAAGAAAACTCTGTGACTTTGGATTAGGCAATGGATTCCTAGACATGATACCAAAAACAAAACAAACAAACAAACAAAAAAAAAACAGGCAAATTGTACTCCATCAAAATAAACCCTTCGGTGCTCCAAAGCATACTATCAGGAAATGGAAGGCCGACACACAGAAGGGCGGAATGAGCCTCATCTTGCACCTGCCCGCTTTCTTCCTACGACAAATACTCTGGGTGCCAACGCCACCCCTGTTCTTCGGCCCCCTTTCCTTGCTTTTGGCTCTGGTCCTTTCTTCTGTTGTTTCTCCTCCTCTTCCCTCTTTTGTGTTTGTTCCTACTTCTGTTTCTCCTCTTTTTTATTCTAGGAAATGCAACTTATATTTTTATAAATGGGACTCATTTCCATTTTGCTTTTTTTTTTCTTCTTAAAATCACTAGGGAATTTGTCTGAGGGTTCGGGAGCCTGGGTACCAGTCTTCACTCTGCTGCAGGCTGCCCGCCTCTGCACTTGTCCAAGGCTTACCAACAGGCACACACACAAAGTAGGCTTTTGATCCTGCAAACCTAGGCATCCCACTGGGATGAGGATAAATATTTATCTCCATTTGCTTTCTGCTGTTGGGCCTGGTTTCTGGCTTGCTCAATGTCCTATTTGGCCCAATACCAGCCAGGTCAGGAAAAGATCACTCCACAGTTCCAGCCTTGAAAACATGCGGGAAGGGCCTCCAAACAGTTCCCATAGAAATTATAAAGGGTCATCTGAGTCCACCACCAGGGTAAGGGAGTATATAGGGAGAAAAGACTCCCTAAGTTAGAGAAGAAAAGCAAATATAGATTCTTCTAAGTCTCTTCTCAAACCCTCACCTAAGAAACCTTCTATAGTGTTCTAGAGGGCTGAATTAGTTATCTGATATTAATTATATAATTAGTGACGGCTGCAGTGGAGGAAAAGAGTAAAGGGTTTAAAGTTTCACAGACCAAGGTTTTCAAATCCCAGTTTTGCTACCTATAAGCCAAGCCTCGCTCTCCTAATCAATAAAACCAAGATCATAAAAACCTAGGCTACAGAGTTCTGACACCACACAGGCAAAGCTCGGGGCACAGTCCCTAGGACACGAAAGCACTAAGTACATGGCATTCTCTCTATACTAATGGAGTTCCAGAGCTTCAGGTCACCGAGTTTCTTGCTCCTAAACCGGAAACCACAGAAAAGAAGAAAAGTTGTTTTCTGGGTATAAAATGGAGACCTGGCTCTGAACAGGTCCATCCCTATCTCTTCTACAAACCAAATCCACCATCCATCAACAAGCAAGATCTACCAAAAGCCACTTGTAAGCTCCAGTGGGCATGCTGGGTATAGGTCAAGGGTAAGAGCAGACTCCCCAAGCCGCTGACTTCAACAAGGTGAAGGATGGCTTCTGCGAAGAGCCCAGGGAGAGAGAAGTGTGTAGCCTACACTGCTGCCAACACCGACAGCCCCCGCCACCCCCAGGGTTGGTTCTGCAGCACCACCTTCACTAGTAACGTCAGGACTAGCAGGGCTTCTCCCTCCCTTGCTGTCTCACCCACCCCCACCATCCCATCATCACAGCATCTGTAAGAGCCCGGCCACTGGGAGAGAGTGGCTAAAGGTAATGTGCCTAGCAAGAGGCCTTGGGGAAGGTTTTATTTGCAGAACTTTGAAATCACCTGTGTAAACTGTGTCACACCCATCTCAGCGTGTCCCAAAAGCCCCAGCTAACAGCGTTGAACTGGAAAGACTCCTCAAAAGGCAAACTCCCTCCCAGATCTTTCCTACCTATGTGGATCCAGAGAAGGGACACAAAACAAGGGTTGGAAGAAGACACCCCCACCCCTCGACTCCCGAGTGGGTCTCTTATATAGCTCAAGTGTGACCCAGCACGTAGGGCCCAAAGGGCAAAGGCCCAGTGAGGCAGGAGGGCAGCCATGGCCTCAGGAGGAGGGGCTGGCCATACCTCAGTCTGGCTAGAGGCTGCAGAGCACTTTGTGGCCAGCAGTTTTGTGACAAAGAACTTGAAACCCACTGGCAAAGCACCTCTGCCAACAGTCCGTGGGAGGCTCAGGTCTGGGGGTGCCAAGGGGAAGCATCTGCTGGGCATCTGAGGCCTGTTGCCATAGGAAAGCTGCAACCATATCCTTTTAGAATGGCTCCCACAGGCGTGTAGCTGCATTTTCCTCTGAAGACACAAAAATATCTAATGACCTTGTCCACATTAAAATAATAAGGGTCACAAGTTTTTGCTCCAAAAAGCAGTTACTTTTATTTTCTTGCATCCTTGTAACTTAACAAATTATACACAGCTAAACTGAATTTTTAATTATTCTCTTAAAAAAAAAAGACTTTTTAAAAACTAAAGGTTATTCCTGGGTCTAGAGCTATAGACCTGGCATGGGTCTATAGCTAGAAGCACATTTTTATAGCTAGTTATAAACTCCTGAAATATGAGTTTATACTGGAAAAGCTGAAGCAGCCTTAACTCTAGCCACACCAGTGGGCGCCACTTTAATTACAGTCCCCGAATCGAATAAAACAGTCTCTCTTCTAAGGTAGCATCACAAAGAACCCCATTAACTCTCCAATTACTAACCCAGGAAACAACATTCTCTAGAACTCATGCCAAGAACAAAAGAACCCTGCATGCTCCAACTTCAGAACCTGAACTGGGCTTCCAAGTGCAGGCGGCCCGCCTCTGAACAGTGTTTACTTCACTATTTAAAGTAAGCGCCCTCTTGGCCAGGCTCACACAGGACTGTTTGTTTGGGCTGGGGATGGGGCACAGTGGTAGGGTGCTGCCCATCCAGCTTGAGGCCCTGGGTTCCATCCCCAGCATGGGCAGGGGGAGGGACAAACTACTTGTTTAACAATAAAGATGTGTGTTTCCTGGAGTGTTTCTAATTGGGATCTGAGATCCCACCTCCTGAGGAATCCCCACAGATGGCTCTGCCGCCCTCTTCTCTCCAGGGCAGGGAGGGACTGGCGCTCCAGAGAGGGTATTTGCTTCAGATGGGCCAGAAGGGCCAGAAGGGCCAGGCCAGAAAATGGCTGGTGTCCTAGGACGCCTCCATCATGCTGTCAGTGGGAAGGAGCTGAGGAGGGTCCAAATGAGATCCAGCAGGACTCATAAACTGAGCCATTCAGTAGGAAAGCGAATTCTAAAAATCGTAACCTGGGGAAGCCAGCCCCCTCCTCTCCCACTTCTCCCTCCTATCTGCAAGGCAGCCCCTTCAGTGGGCCACAGCAGGGCCACAGCCCTGTTTCCAAAGCCACGCTAACATCTTGGGAAACGCCAGGGCAAAAATCAAAGATTCTTTGGCTGGGTGTGTAATATAAAACTTGAAGTTGTTCCTGTTAAATAAAAACAGCCATGTTAATTTTGGTGCCATTAAAAACACAGGAAAATGCTGTTGCCAAATGGAAAAGAAAAGGGGAAAAAAAAAAAAAAAAAAACCTCTTACCAAATGGGAAGCAGTTGTATTTTGCAGACTGGAGAATGGCTGGAGAACGGCTGCACAGGAGACTAGAGAGCAGGACTGCAGGAGGAAGAAGAAGGCCTGCTTCCTCTAACTCTTGCCCTCCATTAAGGCAAAAAAAAAAATGCAACCCTGATTCCCTCAAGGAGACACAGATCCACCCTGTTCTGTAAATAACTGTAACAAGACATTTTTTGTGCTTGGGCCACCAGCTCCTGATTCCGCCCTTCTGCAAATGCTCTCAATAACACACTCCCCTGGTTTACAGATTAACCGAGCTGCACAGCAAGGGGGGTTGGGGGGAGTGGGAATTATTTTGAGCAGAATTTTTCTCTTCTAGCTGCATCTCTGTTCCCAGCAGTGTTTCCAAGGCCTCTAGAGTGCTGAGGACAGTGCACATCAAGCTCCATGTATGAGGATGGCTCCAGTCCCTCCAGCAAGCCTCCGAGACCATCCTTGGCTGACGAGGACATCTCTGCTGTGCTGCCACAAAGCAATCAAGAAACCAGAGAAAGACAGAGGAAAGTTAAAGACCAAGACTCTTGAAACCCTCTTTAGAGGAGTTTGAAGAAATTATGGAACATTAATCTTGTTGTTGTTTTACCGCTAAAAAATGTGTTGTAAGAGGGTTTTTCCTAACTGCCATTTTAATTTTGATGAAACTGTGATCTGGAGAAATCAATGAGATATCTTTGGCAAAAAGTGAAATAAATTTCACTCTCCATTGCTTTGCCTTAACCTTTCTTTCTCCCATTCAATACACAGTGTCTTCTCACATCAGGGACTATGCCATAGCTGGCTGACACACACTTCAGATTCGTGTGAGTAACTTTCAGAGGCAGTGCTGGTTTTGTTCCAAAGGTATGGCTTCCACTAACTGACATCTCCCAGATTCTCAATGATAGCAACGAGCACATGATAGCCCTGAACTTGAATCAAAATCCAGGTTGGGTTTCTGTAGGACTGAAGTTATTGTGAAATCCTGGTGAATCCTTCGAATTTGAAAAAATAGATCCTACCTAAAAGTTTACTTTCCTAGACAGCGAGACCTTCACTCTGAACCTCCCCTCCCTTCCCTTCAGCCTGGCATGGAAACCCAGGGGAAAACCAAGGGAACCGTGGCCACAATCCTGCAGAGGGTCCCAGGGCCCAAACCCCCAGCATCTCACCAGTTAAGAGACCTCAGCAGATCCTCCAATCAAGACAGGAGGCTCCTGAGAGGCTGAACTAGAATACAAAGAGACTGAGAATTTTGAAAAGCAGTTTAATAAGATTAATTTCCAGGAACACACAGTGACCAGCCTTAAGTTGTGATAACTTGGTGGTGCAAGGGTCTGGAGAGCTAACATGATCTTTTAACAGAAAGCAAGTCAGCTGCCCAGCATAGCTGTGAGGGTTAACATACCACGATTCAGTGATAGGTGAATGAGATCACAGCCCCAGTGCTGAGTAGCTCAGACCACAGCTTCACAGTCAGAGGCAACCTGGGCCCAGCTTCAGCTAGAACCTGGCGAGATACAGAAGCATTCTTTTCTCAGTTTCCTCCTCTGCAGGATGCCCACAATAATGGCCTCTACTGTAGAGACTGACTGGCTTTAAATGGACCAACACATGAAGTGCACCCAGCACAATGCCAGGCCCAGCGTCCAGAGTTCAATGCAGTGGCTTCTGCAGTGACTAGGAAGGAGACCTCTTTCGGCTTCCTGGGTCTGGTTTTGGGCTTTTCAACTTCTATGCAGTGAAGAGAATTAGAAAGTGACCTAGCAGAAAGCAAATAAGATGACTACACAATCAGCAAAAGAAGCTACAAAAAAAGGAACCCCAAACTAATGAGTTTATCTAGCCCAGAAAAGAAAAAGCTGAAAGGTTTAATAATAAAGCAAATAAACAAAAATGCATTATTCATCATGGGGCCATCAGCTATTCTGCTGCTGGAATCAGGCAGAGAATGAAGGAGCTTTTTGCTACAAGAGGAACAGGGTTAGTCATAAAAGAGAACTTTCTTCCCCTTGTAAAAAGTCATTTTTCCTGGTTTTAGAGGCCAGACAAGCCCAAGTCTGATTCCTAGGGACTCCTGTTCCACTTGAACGCACAACAGGGATGGCTGCTGCAGCTTCTAAGGACATTACCATGTCTTAAAGGCCCCAAGTTCTTCCAGGATATGGGGGCCACTCCCCTCACTGAGCTTTGTCTGGCTTCCTCTTTGTGGCAAGTGCCCTGCCAGACCAGTGTGGGGATCAGTACATTCTCTGTGTGTCTGTAGCAAATAGCTGAATGCTGTGTGTGTGTTGTACACACACAGTACAGGGTCCTATGGTTCATGGTAATTCTGTATATACAAAATGGCTGCCCTTTAGAGATTAAAAATAATAATAATAATTTGCTATGCTGGTAAAGAACATTTTCTGAATTAGTTCCTTAGTGTCATGCCTCATTATGGTTGAGATAAATCATATCTATTGCTTGCCTCCCATTGATGTCACTGAAAAAAAATTAGATTAGTCTGGCCAATGTGAAACCATAATGGGGTAGCAGCCTAGGCTCTGCCTACTGTTTAAAATTGAATTTTAGCTGATCTATTCTAGAATTGCACAGGAGGTGGCATTAGGATGCTCAAGTGAGTCTTTAAAACACATTTCAGCAACATGGCCCCATCTCAGTCCATTCATTCATCAAGGAGTCTGGAAATTCAGACACAGTTAGTTGTTTCCATAACCACTACTTTCCACTTCCCTTTCTGGCATTTCATGAACTTTTTCTTCATTCAGATCACACTTGGGTTTCTGCCCAAGTCTAAAGATTAAAACCATCAAAGTCGCAGTCTTCTCAACATCCTCCATTTAAGAAAAGAAACTGCATTAGCCTTCCCCTTTGTTTCGGAAGCCTGGTGGCTGGTCTTCTGGCTGGGGCCCTGGGCACCTCCAGCTCCCTTCTGAGACTGCAGGCCTTACACCAGTCAGCTCAACTCCCTCAAAACCAGGGCACCACCTAAATAAATAAAACCAACGGTCTAAACAGTATAAAATAGCACTTCTTAATGCTGATATTACATGTCAGATATATTGGTTTATTTAAAAGAGAGAGAGAGATATCCTTTTTAAATTTTCAAAATTAATGAGAATAGGATGAACACAACTTTATAGTTGTTAAAATTAGCAAAATCCCTGGAAGATCAGACTTCTGTTGTTATTAGATGTGTATGTGGGGGGGGGGGACCTCAAGAAATGCATTTTGACCTGAATCAGAGACCATCTGGTGGTTTTATTCTACAGCTTTCATTATTTTCTGGGGAAGAAAATTTAACGTAAGTATTTAAATGATTAAAGTTCAAGCTTCAGCCTTGAAGGAAGACTAAAAAATTATACATGCTGCTTCCTTAAAAAGCTCCTTTGGTGAAGTGAGAAATCCTTTTTGAATGATCTGCGTAATCTGGACTCGATTCTTTGTGACAAGCCCTTCTCATTGTCTTTTTAAACAGCAACTCATCAAACTTATCTTATTTCTCCCCAGAACTATAGTTTTAGAGAACTGTGGGCATTCTGGGTTGGTAAAGACTATAGAGTTGGTGATTCATGCTAATAAGCAACAAATGTTATAGGTTTTGACCTATGAAACTATCAAATTTCTCTTAGCCTACCAGATTAAAGAACCAATACTTGCTAAGGACTTGACATGTAGCCATCCAGACACATCTGCTGCACACAGAAGTCCAGAGGTGAGCAGGTGAGTAGCAGTTTACAAGCAAGGGACTGAACCCAGGGTTCACCACAAGCAAAGGCAGAACCAGTATAGACCCTAGTCTTTCCAGTCTGCACTTCAGGCTGTGTCCTAAGGGGTGCAGGTGTGCTTGGTTGCCTGGGGCACACCCTGGCCGAGATCACAACCTGTGAGTGGGCCTGTGTCTCTGCCAGGAGCTCAAACCACATTAGGACCCACCTGCTCTGCACCTTGGCAGCCAAGAGTTAAGAAGCTCAGGCCCTGAACTCTCTGTTAGCTCCTGCTGGGACGCCACCCATGTGATAAGCAGCTGAGCAAAAAAGCAAAGCTGCCCTTCCTGGCGGGTGGAAAATTATGGCAGGGCAGGGCAGAGAGACCGCTCTGGGCAGGGATTCCTGATCTCAACACAAGTGGCCAGAACCTAGCCAACGCTTGCCTTCAAAGAAGCTGCAGGGGGAAGCTAGGGCTGTGGCTCAGTGGTAGACCACTTGCCTAGCAAGTGTGAGGCACTGGGTTCAATCCTCAGCACCACATAAAATAAATAAAACAAAGGTATTGTTTCTATCTACAACTAAGAAAAAAAATTTAAAAATAAATCTTAAAAAAAAAAAAAAGAAGAAGAAAAAGCAGCTGCAGGAAACCTTTGACAGTTGGGCCACAGAAGACCTGGGGCTTGTTTGTGAGGATCAAAGGAGAGCACATCTATCCAGAACATTCAGAAAACTGCAGGTGATCTCATCATTAAAGTATCTGAAGGCCAGAAGGAAAAAGAGCCAGGCATTGTCTGATTTAACCAAGGCCACCAACTTGGGTTGCCAGTCCTAAAATTTAATTGACACTTTTGTTTGTAGAAGAGAAAAAGAAGTGCCCCTTGTAAATTAGTCAAGACTGTGGGTATAAAGAACAGCAAGAAACCTAATGCAATCATTTTCCCCATTCATTTTCTGGGCCAGAGTCCTTGTTTGAAGGCTCCAAGGCCTTGGGAAGGGCAGGAGCACACAAGAGAAGACCACTTCTCTCCCTCATTTCTGCTCTTCTACATTCCCTGAGACCAGAATCTTCCAGGCATCAGGAACAGTCCAGTCCTCATACCACAGTATCAGCCTCCTCTGCTCCTCCTCCCACCTGCAAATCCTAGGAAGAGCTTGTGCCAAAAGTCACACAATAAGTTTCCAAGACAGAGGTGGTTCCAAGGGCAGATGGGTATAAAAGGTAAGTGGTTTGCATCCCTTTCAGGGAGAAGGGATGCACTGCCACGGCCTGAGAAGGTTCTCGGGCTCTGGGGAGAGCGGGCTGAAAAGCACTGATCTTCCCCTAAGTCAAATCTCTGCAAGATGCCTAGGGACCAGGCAGGGACAGTCTCCCTCACGTGGCTTCTGTGAGTTGACTGAATAACAGTCACAATGCTGGTGGTGGTGGCGCCCACTGGAAAGGTAAGTATACCAATCTGAGCCAATGTCTCTGACTCTGGAGGAAGAATTACAGAACGAGAAATAGACATTCGGTTTTGAGAACAAGCACCTTCTCATCTCTACCTTTAGAAATACAGTACAGGGCTTCTTCAACAGATTAGGGCCTTAAACACAGAGGTCCAGAAGGAAGTAAGTGTCCCCTGAACAAAGTCATCATTTGTATCCTCAAATAACTTGAAACTACCCAGGCACTGGCAGGTACCAGGCTAAATCAGCAAGTTTCTTTCATCTATTAATTTTCCCCACCCCAACTTCCTGGCACAAACGCACAGTAGTCAGCTTTTCATTCATATGACAATTACCTGAGAACAACTTACAGGAGGAAAGATTTATTTTGGTTCCTGGTTTCAGAGGTTTCAGGGCCTGGTTAGCTGGCTCTAATTTTGCTCTGGACCTGAGGTGAGGCAGAACATCATGGCGGAGGAAATCTGCTCAGCTCATGACGGCCAGGAAGCAGAGAGGGAAATAGAGGAAGGAGCCAGGGACAAGATATGGTACCCAAAGAATACCCCCAATTATTGGGTGTGGGGGAGACCTT